TCATATATAATATATAATATATAATATATAATATATAATATATAATATATAATATATAATATATAATATATAATATATAATATATAATATATAATATATAATATATAATATATAATATATAATATATAATATATAATATATAATATATAATATATAATATATAATATATAATATATAATATATAATATATAATATATAATATATAATATATAATATATAATATATAATATATAATATATAATATATAATATATAATATATAATATATAATATATAATATATAATATATAATATATAATATATAATATATAATATATAATATATAATATATAATATATAATATATAATATATAATATATAATATATAATATATAATATATAATATATAATATATAACGAAATAACGAAATAACGAAATAAATAAATATAGAATTACCTACCTACCTACCTACCACCAGTACCTACTACCCACCCTCCTGAGTTAATTAATCATCAAGAATCCAAGGTCCAAGGTAAAGAACACACACACACACGTACGCACGCACACACGCACGCACACATACACACACGCATACACACATACATACACACACACACGCATACACATACACATACACATACAAACAGATATCAAGGTCCCCAAAAAAAGAGAAAAATTAAACAGAAAAATCATTTTATTGTATCTACCGTGACAAGCAAGTGAAATCTGAAATGCGGAGAATAGTCCAGGTACCCAGACTCCACCTCAAGCCCATGATAATCACAACCAGCCAGAGAAGACCAAAGATAAAAAAGAAAAGTTGTTAGAATGAGAAAAAATTGTCCATCACGGGATATCATTGACATCCAATACGTTCGGGGAACCTTCTTTCATAAAAGCCACTTCCCGTCCATTTATCATGAGCCAGCTATTCCCGTCATTAACCATTTCACAATGCAAAAAAAACTTAGGACTGGTTTTTGATCAAATTTTTTGTTTCTCATATAACGATTGCGTAAAACACAAATTCTTTTGGGGATCGTTTCTACATATCATGTTATGTCATGCTTTGAAAGATCGGGAGATTTAGTTTCAATAATGAAACTTTATGCGCCAAGGCTTGGGAAAGCGGATTGGTCCTCAATCTGGATAGGTGCAGAGGCGCCTCCAGTTCTTGGGGCACTTTGGCGTGGTGGACCTCGATCACCGCGAGCACGTCCACGTTGACCCTCACCACGTCCACGGAAACCTCCTCTGTCGCCACGTGGTTGTCCATCACCACGTCCACGACCTCCACGGAAACCTCCTCTACCACCACGTTCAGCGGGTTCAACATAACGTTGATCAATCTCAACGACTTGTTTTTGAGCGCGTTGACGTTCACGCTTGGTCTTGCCACCAGTTCCGGCGACGAAGTCTTCCTCATCCTCCTTGGTGATAGCCTTGGCGCTGGCCCATTTCTTGTCGACCTTGCTGTCTGGCTTGCGGGCTTCAGGGGTAGCAGCGTTGAGTGCAGCTCTCTTCTCCTCTAATTGAGCGAGGTAATCGGCGTATGAGACACTGTTGTCTTCTGGCTCAGGCTCTTCAGCGGCAGCATCAGCTGGTGCTTCACCATCTTCCTTAGCATCATTCTTGGCGATAGCTTCACCGGCTTGCTCGTCAGCGAGCTCAGCGCCACCTTCGGTAGCACCCCAGCCATGAGCAACTTGCTTCTCGGAATCACTTCTTAAGTATCAACATAGGTGCTACAAAATCTATCACGAAAGAAACTTCTTACCCAACGACTCCACGGCTGTGACGGTCGAATTTGGCACCTCCACGAGCACCACCTCGGCCACGTCCACCAGCTCTTGGGTGACGGTCAGTTCTGACAGAGTCATCAATTGGCTTGCCATGGTTGTTGGCGCTGCCGGCGTTGCGATCACGGAAAGCTGTAAAAACGACAAATGTTAGTGAAGATTCCAGATAGTTGTCGCACCGAGCTCATCATGCCGTAAAAGTTCATTGTTGATATGCGCTCAAAGAGAGTGTCTATGTACTGACCTCCTTCGTTTCCGGTGAATCCTCCACGACGAGCTCCACGTCCATCAGCTACGGGAGCCTTGGCGGCTGGTGCCTCTCCAGTAGCATTGCGCTTGGTGGTGCGGGCTGGAGTCTTATCGACAACCTTCACCGGTGGCTCTGGCTCCTTGTCGGAATCATACTCATGATCATTGCCTACATGTCACTTTCATCAGTTTTCGTTTGTCCCACTTTATTGTAATTGAAGTAAATTCGTGCGTACCGAGAAGCTCGTAAAGGTTCTGTGATAAATCATATTAGCATTGAAAACTCTTAAACACTTCAAAAAATGATGGGCAAGCGAGAATGGCGCATCTCTTTTCAAGCCCCCAACTATTGGGAATTTTCTATTGTTAACTGTTGATGGAAAGATTTACCTTGGAAGCGATACCCGACATCTTGATCTGCTTCTCGAGTGCCTCCGAAGAAGCTTTTGCTACCGAGAGAACAATTCGGGGGTTGTGGATTTAAAAAACGAGACTGACAGATTCCTGAACACAAGGAAGCCGTCTCTCGAGAATTGCTGATTTGCGGTTGAAGAACAAGGTGAACTTGTGAATCGTCGTTGATGCTGAAAAATCAGTTCGCTCCTCAGTACACAAATAATCTAAACCAAGTTTAGTTTAGTGTGAGGCATAAGCGAGCAGCCCACCAGGGCTTTCCAAAATTTGAGATGTGGGGTGAAGAAAGGAAAGAAAAGTTGTGTCTGATGGTTGATAGTCGTGATAGTGGTGATAGAAATGATAACGGGGGTCAAAACGTGTTATTGCAAATTGTTGACTTTATTGATATCGTACGAGTGATAGTAAAATGGTGAATGCGCTTTGTGAGATTTATGGCTATGATATAATTTCAATAGAATTGTCGAATGATATGACAATCATTTGTGTAACATAGTGTTTCTAAGCTATGATCCATCAGTTCATTGATGATTGTCTTTGTTCTTTTCTCTTCCTGTCGCGGACCTCCTCAGATATAGTTTCTGGATCTCAATCATACCAGTATTTTAAGAGACTTCACAATTTGATAACAGAAATTGCTACCTAGGGGCTGACTTCTTACTTGGATCAGTCGGTAGTCAATCACTGGTTTCAATCATTTATTTATAACTAGATACAATTTTACACCGTCGACCTCAATGTCAATGTCAACGTCAACACCAATACCATCATCAACGTATATCCAAAAAGTACAGGGGCATAATTCATTGGAGAACAAGCGCCGATCAAAAATGAAGGAAGTAAAAGCAAGGCAAGGAAAAAAGCGGGAAAGGTAAAAGATGAAATCGGGGAGGAAATGCTGCTCAAAACGTTGAAATAAGAGGAAAATCATCCAACATGTTTCCATGGTTGTTGTTATTGTTTCCCTTTCCACCATCCTCATCAGGAACATCCATTCAATGCTCCACTTAATCCAGCGCCCTTCGATATCCATATACATTTTTCATCCTCATCATAAAACCCATTCCCACCATGAGAGAATGAAACGCTCAATACATACGTTCCTTGTGTGAATTGTGTAAATTGTGCTTATCGCTGTGATCGCCTCGACGACATGCAATTGATGCAATGCTATAGCAACTCGGGGATCTGCCATAGACCCTGCTTATAAACTTTTTTTTTGTCCCATCCCTTCCTTTTTTTTGTTTTTTAAACTCCATCCCAAATGCTCTCAAAACCAAAAACCAAAACTCATTGCCTGATCCCAGGAGACATTAAAACCGGATGCATTACCCCCTAGAACACCTGCCGAAACCATGAAAGAGATTATGCCTAACCATGGGTATCAAAAGTGATCAGCGCTCATCGCATCGAGCTCGTGTCGAAGGAGAATTGCGTTGGAAATTGCATGCTTGCAGAAAGGCCGAAAGGATCCATATCGAGCATCGGGTCGTATGGATCAAGTAGCTGTGTCATCGGATTGTAGGCTTGAGTGGCGTTTTCGCCGTGCATGCCTTGCGAATGCGGGGGGTGACCGAGTTGCTGCGGTTGGTTTCCCTGTTGCTGGTTGAGTTGACCAGCGGGAATCGGTTCGGGGTATGGCCCGGGGCCTGCGATTTCGGGTTGATCGTCAACCATATCGGCTTGCGCATCGTACTCCTGTTCTGTACTCACGGAATCAATCTAGGACGAACATGGTTCCAAAAAAAGAAAATGATAACAGGGGACGGGTCAGCTTGCCGAGTTGCTCAATATGAGTTTGGAATGACGGATAATACGTAGGAGCTCCGGTAGCCCCTCCTGCATTACCCGCACCATTTCCATTGCCATTTCCTTGCCCTTTTGCCCCTAATGGCGATGCCACACTAGTGTTAACGAGAAGTCCAGTAGTGCCTGACAATGCATGCTGTGCTTGCGTTTTTGCGGCGTGAAGACGTTGCTGCTGTTGCTGTTGATGCTGCATCTGAGAATCAGAAGAAGGTGGGGTTAGTACGCCTTGATGATTAAAGCCTGGCGAGCTTGTGGTTGGCGATGAGGCATGTGATGATGGAGTAGGCCTCGATTGTGGTGATTGATTGTTGTGAAAAGAAACTCCGGGCTCAAGCTTGGGTGCAATGCTCGAGTTTGATCGTCTAGCTTGATGATGTCTGTTCATTATAGCACGCTGGACAGTAGGTGGTTGAGCCATATTCTGGTGCATGTGGGTTGGACCAAGGTGTGGACTTCCTGTCTTTGCCCGTAATTCGGCCTGGACATCGATGCCTGTCAAGACAATTAGACTATTTTCAAAGGGAAGCTCAATTGATACAATTACCTTTCTCTAGAAGAATTCTTTCAAGGAGAGAGTTTTTGTACCGGAGCATCAAACACTCATCGGCGGCACTTCTGTGAGCATTCTGGAGATTATGAAGATTTGACTCATGAACTCGAATTGTTTCCTCAAGTTGCTTGATATACTCGGTGCGACGTTCTCTAAACGCTGCTTGCGCCTGACGATTGCGCTGTTTACGCTCTTCTGAAGTAGCATAAATCTGAGCGATCACATTAGCAAATAGGTACTACAGGGCTAAGCACATCTTGTCAACATACAGGTTTTCGGCCACCCTTTCTTTTTTGTTGACCAATATTTTCTGGAGGAATTTCTGTCTCGGCCTCTGGTGTAGAGGCATCTAGAGACTCATCTGTACCCTCTCGGACTGATTCTTTTGCGTCGATAGACATGTTTGTTGAGGTCTCTGCCATTTCAATAACGAAAGCTTACGGTACTATGATACTCGAACCCCGCCTTTTTGTCGACCCCAGGTATTGGCCTCGGCAATTTCTACAGCGTCCAAACGAATTAAATGAGTGAATGCACCTCACTACCAGCAGTACAGCACGAATGCTTGATCGAAGCTTGGACAACGAGGTTCCGTCTAAAACGGTAACAGACCATTCGTTATCAAATGCGATATGGCCCTATAGGCGCTGTTCCACTGACTTTCCAATTCTGGGAACTGGAAATACGGTAGGGATGGCGTACGAACGAGGCTGAGAGCCTGAGATGAACCGGCAATTGCGTGATAGAGACTGGATGCAAATCACAAAGTAGTGTGGAAAGTGATTGATAGAGTAAAAGATAGAGTAATGAGAATGTAAGATTTCGGTCAAAAAGTTGTGTAATGAAAACTCAGTTGAGGAGCTTCCTCCTTTTAGATGGAGGAGAATATTTTCACGCTTTAGGGAGGGGTGTCATTTAGATCCGAATCGGAAGCACGGTACAATTAGAAAGAACCTTGGACGTTTCTAGTTCTCTTAGAATTCTTTCTAACTTTTTGATCCACTAGTTTTTTTTCGATTCCGCCAACGGAGAAGCGGTTTTGGGGGGTGCTGGCGACTGGCGCTGGTGCGGCTCGGGCTATTCATCTAAAAAATGCAATATGATTGAATTGAATGACCAGGTTTGACCTGTACGAAAGTAATCTTGGCAACTTATTCATCTCAGGTAAGAGGGGCGTTGGTTGCGGTTTGCTGGAAAACGCTATACGGAGTACGGTGATTGATGATGATGATCTACGGCCAGACTAAAATGTGATCCAAGAAGAGGCAACGAGCATTCAGAAAGGCTGGGAATGGGGATGGGAAGATGATGCAGCTCGGGATCTCAGATGAGCAGGTACTAAATAAGGTAGAGTAGGTACTGCGCTGTGCATGTTTGGATTCAGTTAGCCAGGCACAGCGCCGAAAGAGCTAGGACGACTATTGATGAATGCATTCGAGATATTTTAATATGGATCAGTGTATGTTAATTGGAGAATTGAAGAATTGAATGCTACATCGCACATACATACATACATACATACATACATACATACATACTGAAAGTCCCAACTGGGATATTACTGTGGTATTGCGGTAGTATTAGGATGATTGTGCTAAAGTAAGGAATCCGGCAAGTAGACCAAAGTAGCTGCCTGCTGCCTGCTGCTTTGATGCGCACCTGCTACCCAGTATGCAATTCGAGTTTTCGAGGGATTAACATTTAACGGTTGATGTAAACCCAACATGGTACGAGCAATGCAGCGAGTTGCAGCGAGTTGCAGCAAAGTTACAGGCAAATGAGAGAGGAGAGAGCCAGCATGCACGATTCTTGCCCCAAATGGGACCGCGTTAGGGATGTTAGGGATATTTCTCCATAGAAAAACTACTGTGGCGCTATCTCGGCATCACTAAACCAGGGTCAGAGATCAACTGCGGAATCGTGGATATCGTATACTGTACTTAGCTGTACTCCGTTACCGTACTCTCAAAGAGCATCAATGCCACTTTGATGGGCTTCCAACAATCTTCTTTATGGCTTCCATCAAAGTTACATCTACGCGGTCTGTATGTTATTACCCGGGCATGCATAAGTCAATCAGCCACCCATATAAATCAACGAACCATCAGCAGCAGCACCAACCAACATCAAGATGCAGAACTTGGCTTTTCAGAAACCGTTGAGAAACTGGTCATTCATCTATTTTGTATTTTGTATTCTGTATTCTGTATTTTGCATTTGTTTTTGATTCACTTGCTTGATGGCTTCCCTTTTCTTCTCCCTTCACTTGCCTGCTTACTTGATTTGCCTGAAAGGATGTATTGCATAAAAGTCACATTAATACATTGGCATCGGTTGAAAATTTTCATAGTGTATGGTATGAGTGGTACGGGACCGGTTATTGTTACATCCTACCAGCGCCATGGTAAATGCTTGCTTGCATAGTTTTCTTTGGCATCTACCATCTTCTTTGGTCCAAGGCTTACAATCTACCACTCACTCACTCACTCACTACCCGTCAGCTAAACTTGGTCAAAATTTCCATCCTCTCCAGAGACCATCCTCAACATCATAATGTAAGCAAGCCATGCTATTTCCGGGAATCTGGTCATTCAACCTGATCATCAAAAAAAGTCGAATCTGACTGACAGCCATCATTCGGATATGGCCGTCATAAATTCATAATAATTACTCGAGATGTTGAGATGTCTTCTAATCACAGTCACAGAGCATGGATAATTTTTGATCACCTGCCAACTGGTAAACTTCACATCCTGATCCATTTCCCAGGTTCAATTGGAGTCTTACCTATCGTGGCTTTTCACTCGGCTGCAACTTGCCCTTTGAATGAATTGATGTCGTCCAAAGAGAAAATTTCTCAGGGCGGCAGCCAAGTCTGCACCTGACAATGGAGCAAGTCAACGCCATCTTGAATTACGATTGGTTGAAGAGGTTATAATTGGGTTTACGGAGTATGGACATTTGAATTCAAAAAACTTCCCAGGTGTACCGTGTATGTCCAGTGGTCTGTACACTGCACAGATTCTGTAGACGAGCCAGACAAGCAAGTTTCCCCACCTCTTACGGACTTGTCACTGGTCAGTGGTCAAAGACCAAAGGTCAATCACTGCGGATACTAAGCGTACATCTAGTCCTTCTTCACAGCATTTTACATCACTTATAAATTACAATGCCTACCGTACATAACACATATGTACGGAGTAGGTAGGCAGATTCTTTCACACCGTGCGGCGAAGCGTGCCTCATGATTCATCAATTGGTATCTGGGGTTCAAGCCAAAAATTCTGCCCCTAACCTTGAACAGACATCCTTGTACCTCCCATGCGATAGGGATGGATATGGTTGGTTTGACTTTCTCTCGTGCATAAAGCTTACTGATCACATTAAACATATCTCCACGGAGCCTTATCTACAATATTGTCCTATTCCAGAAGGTATAGCCAGGGACACTGCACCGTATTGAAAGCCTTCTGTTCGGCCGTCGTCGCACTAATTGAAATTGACCAATACATTGGCAGATGCCATAAGGCTGTACTCCGTAATTATCAAGATGTTTGAACCCTTAAAGCACTGTATTTCTATCTGTACCATGACATACCAAGTATCATCCCACTTTTGTTATTTTAAGGTTTCAATGATGTTGAATTGGGATTGCCATATAGCGTAGATCCACCGGAGAGACTGTGGGACTTGATACCTCGTTTCTCAAGTCCTCACAGGTCTTAAGACTACACGGTAAAATCCATATCTCATGATCCATGGACCTTGAGAGCTCCATCAACATATGAGCCAATCCTTGAACAATGAAGGACCCAAGAGGGAATTGTTCATATTATGGCTGACGTTTCAAATGGTGAGGCCAAATTGGCAGTCATCTTCAGGCTTCACCCACTTTCCATAGTGATTCATTTACATTCATTCACATTCACACCGATACAGCAATTCATCGGTCAAGTAAATGGGTTCCGATTCGGCATCTATGACCATCATGCGCCCTTGAACAGCTGCGACTCCTTGCCGCGTGATAAGCTGAAGTTTTCCAGAGAAGAACAAACTTATACTACCCATACGGAGCCACAAAACAAAGCCCTTCTTAAATCCTTGAATGTTGTCTTTAGGTGTTGGGATGCGGATAGAAAGAATGGACCCTAAGATTTTAACTCGAGACTGGGTCCAAAACAATGGCCCTTTAGCTTGATAACAAATGCTTGTTGGGTTTTGACCGAGTCTTATGTTGTTGACTATCATTGACTTGATCCGTCTACGGGTGTCTCAATGTTGGAACTTGGTAGGGAGTCGGACTCGGGAACCGAGATTGTGGGATACTCATGCACCGGTATGAAAATCTCCAATGGGTATTCCCCGCCCTCCAGCAGTCTAACAGGCTGATCCATGACGTGTTGAAATGAAAAGGACAGTTTGCAAATGAGGAGTCATGTTAATTCACGATTGTGCATTCACGATTCTAATATTCTATGCTTTCTTTAAGGTTATATCCGAAATACTCTGTCAATTTGAAATGGCACTGCTGCAACACAAAAAGATGGCTATGTTCCGGGGCTCAATTGCCATGTGGTATGGAAATCTTGGCATTAGAAGAACATTTCGACGGTTCCACACGTTAATTTACCCCGAGGCTCCCGGAGCTACTACTCACCGGTATAGTATAATACTAGGAGGTCGGTGGAGCTTTTGATGACTTGGTGATTCTTAGTTCTAACTTCTAACTGACTGCTCGCAGCACGAGAGCTCACTAACTTTTGTAATAGCTTTCAGCGCTAGCATGCTCTATATGTATGGTTGGCTCAACCTCTTGTTAACACGGAACCGTTTAGGATTCGAACTGGTTTGCTATGAATTCTTATGTAGGTACACTGCAGATAATGATGACCTCACAGCATCTTAGCTTTTCATTAATTACTATGACTACTATCGTTTGCCTATGATTCCTTACGAATGGGTTATACAGTTAGTTTAATAGCTTCGCACTCAACACCTTCTAATTGCTTCATGGACTGCTTGCCAACAGCACGTGATCGTTATCATAAGCGCCCAAAACATTACTTTTGGTGCATTGGCGTTATGTGTCCTCCTCGGTACCTGGAGAAGCTTCGAGTTTCACTTAACACCATACTCGTATATCGGATGAGCTCCTTGAACTTCATTTAACAACTCCAATTTCTCTCTGTACTACTACTTGTCGACATTTACACCGCCCCCAAATAGTGGAGGTACTCATATTTCCAAAACCCCGCCGCGCAGACCAACCAACATGGCGATTTACATCTCTGGCCCTTCGGCCTCCTTGCTTGGACTTGCCTTGCACATAGAGTAGAAGGTGCCTCGGAAGACAAGAAACCCAAGCCTGTGGACCCATGTACAATATCATCGACGACCGGATCTTTCTTTGATTTGAGACCATTATCAATACAACTTCCGGAAGAAGGCAAGAAACCCGCCAAGAATGCGAAGACGGACGATTGGCATGCGAGAGGGTATGATTACAAAGGGAACTTTACACTGAATGTATGCGCGCCGGTAGTAGAAGGGCTGAAAGATGTTGTTGGAGTGGACAAAAATCATTGGCGGAATGTGAGCGCATTCTATGAGTTTGAGGGAAAGAAGTATTCTGTCGGGTAAGTGGGTCTATGTTCGATTCTCTAGGAGAGCAATATTAACCAGCATGATTCAGACAACAATCGGGGAATCTAACACTCCGTGGAAGAAAGCTGGTTCTGGAATATAAGAATGGATCACCATGTGTAGGGAAGAACAAGAAAAGAAGCTGGGATGATGATGATGACGATGACGATGACGATGACGATGACGACGATAAATCAATACGCCGAAAATCTAGTATCATATCCTTTCATTGCGAGAAAGATCCACTCGCCACGGCATCCGCCTCGTACGTAGGCACTGATCCGCAAGAATGCGCGTACTTTTTCGAAGTGCGCTCGCAAGCTGCATGCGGAGGCTCCGAACCTGCCAAACAAACTGTAGGCCCCGGTGCTGTGTTCGCTATCATAGGGGTTATCGCCATCATGGTATACTTCCTCGGTGGTGTCTTTTACCAACGAAACGTCGCGCATGCAAGAGGGTGGAGACAATTGCCTAATTATAGCTTCTGGGCTGGCATAGGAAATTTCATAAAGGTGAGCGGGCAAAAATGTTTTATGAGATCAAAGTACCAAGTCTTTCCCCGTGTAGCGTCCGTTAGGGATGGCACGTCCATTTTACCGACTATGGAAGTGAGGGGGATGTCGAGTCGCAGATCGCAGAAGTCGTACATACGTTCCGAGTAATCCCATACGCGGAATGCAAGTTCTCTCATGTGGGAGGACAATATCTTTATATATCAAAAATTGATGCGCGAGCGAGCAGCGGCATTCAGCATAGCATTTTCTTTTCGGTTTTCAGGCTGCAGTTAGGATAGGCATTCAGCATTGTAGCATACCACACCCGGCGTTTCAATCAAAGAATATCACATTTCCTTTTGCACTACGTCTCGCAATACAAACCTTCACAAGCGTGTTAAATCCAATCCAATCCATATTCATAGTCACATATAACAATTGCACATTTCCTTGTTCTTTTTCATTTCAGCATAAAGCTATCCACCTACTAGTTATACAGAAGAACAAAATCTTGGCAAAAAAGCATAACTAACATATATCTTTCTCCAAATAGGATATTTTCATCATCGCTACATCATCATGTGCCAGATGTTTACCTACTCACAGGGGATACAACGTCTTGAGTATCTCTGCAAATGGCAACTCGGGAAGTGCCAATGGTGGGAGAGGTGGAAATGGAAGAGATAGGGGCATTAGTGCGAATGAAAGTGGAAGAAGAAATTCAGGGAGCGAGGATGAAAATCGTTTGATTGATCAATTGGATGAGGAATGGGATGATTAGAGGTGGGTGATTAGACAGGTAGATGAGATGAGATGTGATGTGATGAGGATGTATATTGGGGGAAAAGTTACATGGAGGATGTTTTTGAGAAGGATATCTATGGCTGGCTACAGCTGTTTGTTTGTTTTAGGTGCGTGCGTGCAATGGATGGATGGAATGGAATGGATGGAATGAATATATCCGCCATGCCAACAATAAAGCTAAGGATGGATGGTGTATTACGGCGTTTTTTCCTTCTCTTTTCTTCTCTTTCTTTTTGGTATTTTTGTTTTAAATGGTCATGGAAACGATTGGTAAACGGATAGGTAGGTATGTAGGTAGTAAAAGGGAAACCGAAACCCCAAACCTCGGAAATCGGAAAAATGATCTTACAATTTGTTTATGAATGCGGAGTGATTAGGTATGAAATGACGAATATGAATGTGAAGGTTTGGGAATGAAATGGATAGTTTGAGCTAGTCTTAGGTACCATCAATGTGATTTTTTTTTCTATCTTTTGTTTTGTTCTTTTTTGTTTGTTGATTTGAGATTGGTGGTTGGTGGTTGGTGATTGGTGGTTACAGTGTATAGTATAAGTAGTATTGAACTGATCTAATCTAAAAATGAGATGAGTAAATAAAAGGGATATTTTTTCCTTTGCTTTTCTCTGCCTTGTCAAATACTTAGAAGTTAGAAATTGGAAATCAAAGGTCGAAAGTTAGCTACTTAGAAGTTGGCTACTTAGAAGTGGTTCATTTATTCATTCATTTGATATGAAGAGAATAAGAAAAAGGACAAGAATGAGAGGAGGAATTGAATAGGAATGGAATGGAATGGAAGAGGAAGAGGAAGAGGAAGAGGAAGAGGAAGAGGAAGAGGAAGAGGAAGAGGAAGAGGAAGAGGAAGAGGAAGAGGAAGAGGAAGAGGAAGAGGAAGAAGAAGAAGAAGAAGCTTAGTACTCTGTAGGTAGCTAAAGAAAGAAATATATATATACCTAGTCCTAGTAAGAAGATAATTAACTAGAAAACCAAGACGTCAGCTTATATTACCTACCTATCACTATCACTCATTGACATTCAGCCAAGAAACAAAATTATATTTATATTTATTCATCAATCATATAAAACATTCATTGGGAGTATAAAACTAAAGAAAAAAGTATCACTAAAAGGGGATATACTGCATCCATCCATACCAGTTCTCTAACCATAATCATAACTATAACCATGACCATAGCCATAATCATACCGTCAAGACCGTAAACCTATAATATCCATACACCACTTCATCAAAAACCTATTTTCGTCCCAGCCTATTCATAATCTCTCCTTCACTTTTCTGTACATATACCCAACCACCTAACCAACACTAATCCCTGATATAAACAGGAATACCATAAACACAAACCGCAGCCGCATTAAGATACTTCAATTTACAAGCACCCTTTGCCTTTGCCACGGCCTCGATCAAAGATAACTTTTGCCCATGCTCTTCATCCCTCTCGGCCCTAGCTTTCTTTCCCCTTCCTCTATCCTTTCCTTCTTTCTTCTCTCTTGCCTCTGCTTTCTCACCCTCACCTCCAAGCAAACCCCATCCCTCCAACATCTTTCCCGCAAATCGATCAATATCCCTATCCGTGACATCCCACAACGTTGCCACTAATGCTGCACTGCCCGCATGCATATAATGCACCGGCTGTCCTCCCAACTCAAACTCTCCATAATCAGTGAGCGCGCCACTACTACATCCCATCAAGATCGCTACTGCACATTTTTCCATCTTGCGGATTTCTTTTGAACGAATGAATTGTCCTCCACTCCCATGACCGAAATACAAGAAGACGTCCTTATTTTGCAATTCGTATTTAATCTCTTCTTCAGACGGTGCACGGTTGGTAATGCCGGACCAGGAGGGAAGTGCTTCGAGCGGAGCTTGAAAGGTGGCTTGAGTAGCTTTGAGATCCCCTTCTGGGTTCAGGATATAAGCGCCATTATTGCGGTCGATGTAATGTCCCTCTGGACCTTCACTTTCTGTTTTTTGTGGTTTGGAGATCCGGTCTCGAAGACAGCCAAGTGATGGTAGACGTGAGACTGCTAGACCTTCCATGCAAGGTAGTGATTCCCATGGGAAGATATGAAGGGCTTTGTCCAATATTAGAATAGTATGCTTTCCTTCTTCGCCCTCAGTCGAACTGTGAGCAGCTTCGTGGTAGCAACGAAGAGCATCATGGATTTCAATGACGATTGAATCAAAATCAATTTCCGCATACGCATTCAATTCTCCATGGAATTGTAGAACGTCAACCACGAAATACAAAAGATCGGTCAATTGCTCCGAAAAGTCGCAATCATCTGCTGTTGGATCTCCGAGACCGACAAATAATTCCAAAATTCTGCTGTCCAAAGTGACACGAGGTCCAGAATTTCTCTTACTCTTTCGTCGGGAAGGGAGGTGCTTGTCGAGTACATTTTCGAAGGATTTCTGGAAGCGAGCAAGTAGATCTGATTTTCTGGTGTACTGGGAAAATATTCCTGCAAACCCTCCCAACCATACTTTCTCAATGTTCTCTAGTAAATCCTTAAGGCGAGAGTCTAATTCTTCACGTTCTGCCCACCAAGCAAGTTTAGCTTCACGACCCGTTCTGCTAGGACCACTTTGTGAGTTAGCTTTCGCAGAATCAATAATATCCAAGAGCTCGCATTTCCCTTGTTCAAAACCAAACACTTCTTCATCTGCATCCATAGAATTGTTACGGCCCAGAGGTAGACGGAGCACAAACGGACTATGGCCAGTTTGTAATTTAGTAATAGAAAGTTCCTGACGATTCTCGCTCAAAGATATTGAAAAGGCAGTCCATGTTTTGGGTAGGATATCTATATATTCTTTCTGAAATTTCGGGATGTCGCAGAATGACAATGAAGCCCCAAGACTTGATCGTCGTGACATAGCTCCACAATCAGGCCACCGAAGATCATCCAGCTCTGGGATACAAGTCTCCTGTAGAATAACTTTACGCTCTCTACGGAATGCTAGAGTTCGTGCAGAATCAATGGAGCAACTTGCAAGGCCAGGTTGAGATCTTCCTTTGATCGGCCCTGCAGCAGAGAGCAGAATAGAAACATTATTTAAAAGAGACGTTATCTTGTGCATAACAGAGATTGGAGCAACGAGAAATGCAACCGGATAAGTTTCCACCAGAATTTCTTGAGCTCGGTGCAACTTGTCGAAAAGACTATCCGGAGCTGGGCTCTTTGCTCCACGGCCGCTTTTTGACGCTTGAGTTTTTCTTGGTGGTGATTGATGTGCAGAATTTGGTTTTTCGACATGGCCCTTGCTTCCTTTTAGAGATCCGACGACTGATGGAAATGAGAGCGTTGAATCTTGAAGCACAGAATATACTGGATCGGAGGCCATTTGCTCCATGCAGCGCACAAGCAAACATCTAGCTTCCGAGAGGCCTCGATATACCTCATCCAACTGGCTGTTGGAGCATTTGCCGGCCTCCTCCAAGAGGACTTGGGCTTCATTCCTTCTTTTCACGCTCATCAAAGCGTCAGCTAATTGCCACAGGATATTTGCTCGTAAAGAGTCCAATTGAGGACACTCTGTGCTGACGGATGATTCAATTGGAGTTGGATTTTTGGAACGAATGACAAGTTTTCGGGGTACTGGCTCTTTTTTTCGAACGGTGGTTTTCCTAGCGACTGGCGCTTTTCGCTTCGACGTTTCAAGCGTTTGCATTCCAGTTTTCAGTGTATCAGGGACCTGCTCTGAGCCAGTATTACCTGATTCTAGAGCTGCAAGAAATGTAGGGTCTAAAAGAGTTTTGAGAGTTTGATTTGCTTCTTCCAAGCATGCGATTTCAGCTTTACGATCCCCAAGCATTCCGCGGAGACGGCCTACTTGACATGCAACAGTCACCGAGCTTTTGCCTTCGATACCATTCTTATAGTATTTCTCAGCGTCCGTAAGGTAATCAGTGCCCTTGTCTAGATCCCCGGCTTTAGTCCAAATGCTTCCAAGTGTTGCTAAAGCTATTGCAGTCTGCCCATCAAAATTGAATGCTTTAATGAGTTCATGGGCTTGCTCTGCATAATGCAATGTCTCCTGGAATAATCCATGGTGGGCGTATAAATTGGATAAATGGACCAACCCCTGAAAAAGAGGGCTGACTAGTGGCCAAAATCCAATTCCTGATGGGCTATCTTGTGGATGAGGATGATCGGCTATTTTGTTTGTAGAAATATCTAGCTGGGACAGTTCATGTGCTATCTTTTCCGAATCTTCTTTGCGCGCCGCCGCTAGTTTCTTTTTTTGGAGGATTGCTTCGGTGGTAGCCCAGGCCCGTCTAAGCAACCTGACGCTCTGCTTAGCATGAATAAGAGCAGATTCGGAACCTCCCTGTTCAATGGCAAGCATTGATCGTATCAGAGAAGCTTTCGCAACCACACAGTTCAGTCGAGTCTTTTCTTGGAGACTGAGAGGCGCTTTATCTTCTTCTATCTCTTTCCGCTCTAAAATGAAGGCTCCTTCAGCACATTCTAAGTGAAATTGACTATGACGTGTCAGTAGGATCTGGAGGATAAAGATTGATAGACGTACCATTTTTCAAGATTTCCAAGTGCTAACATATATTGAGAGTACGCAATGTGAAGGTCCGTTTTGGCGCCAAGATTGCTGCGCAAGCTAAAGCTTTGGGCTTTGTCCAATGCTAAGCCAGCTTTTCCAGAATATCCAAGTTGGAGCCATGAGAGACCTAAGGCACTGTAGGTTGACACAATGTCGTTGTGACCAGATACTTCACAGTAGAGCTCATTGTAATCGGCAATGAGTCGAAGAATGACAAGCTTGTCGGTTTCAAGACCTCTCATTTCCATGAAATTGGCCAGCGATTGTAAGTGGAGCAAGAGCTGCGGAATATTTTCAATGCGAAGCTGCATAGCTGCGACGGTTTCAACAGCAGAACGAATTTTTCGCCAGTTCACGATGCAGTTGTTCAGAACTTTGATGCTAATTTCATCCTTTTGTAGTTCAATTATACTCATTGCCATAGCAACCCAGTGCCTCACGTAACCTGCTAAACCAGAATCCTGAGATGTTTCGAAATCGATAGACTTGGTCATAAGCGCTCCGAGCGTATCGAGCATAGAACTTTCTGTTTGTTTATCATGCGAATGTTGAAATATGGTCATTGCTCGTAGTCTACGAACAGGATATTGGTTTAAGTCGTACAAAGAGAGGAGGTTATCAAAGACTTTGCGTTTCAAATCCACAGCAACAGAAGTGGGATTAGTTAGGCCAGCCAATATGTCCAATTGATGCTCAAGAACAGCACCTTTTTGCTCATCCGTCCAGGAAATATCGAAAAGCCAAGGCTCGACAGAAACTTCTGGATGATTGAGATATACCTTTACTAGAGACTGTATAGTTCGAGCAAGAACTGAGGCATCTTCACTACATTCCCAAGCGTTGAGGATTGATATATTTCTGGCACCTTCAACAACCTTGCATAAGACACCGTTCTCTACCATCTCATCTCGTAACATGACAAGAGCTTCGAAGAGTTCATCAAACCGACCCGTAGTTTTAGAAAGATCCGCCATTCGTTCTAGTTTCATAGATATAAGGCCTGCTTTCCTGTCTGAAAGTGATCTCGATTTAAGACAGTCAATTGACCTTCGGAGTACCACTCGTGCCTGTGGAGTATCTTTGCCAAGGTCGGAGTTGCGACGTATTTCAAGAAAGTACATGAAGTAAAGGTTAGAAATTTTGATATAACATTGTCCCGAATCGAAATTCTCAGCTTCCATAGAACTGTGTTCTAGCCGGTCGAGTACTGTAAGGCAATCCTGCAGCAAAGAATCTATATTTTCCCATGGTGATGCTTCCTGTTTGAGAAGTAGTTTCACTAGAAATAATGCCGAATCAATGGCATAGACGGAGGACTTGGTTATGAATTTTCTGCGTTGTTCGAATCGCACAACTTCTTTGCTCGGAGCACTTTCATCTGGCTTCCTACCGATGTATCTAAGTGATAGTCGTGGGCATAAGGAAACGAGAGATTCACACATTCGGCGGACTTCGACTGAGAGGCTGTCATTGGTATTAGATGATACCTCCGGCACGGGATTTGAAAGAGCGGTAATAGCAGCTCTCCGTGCGGAGGAGACTTCTATTAATAATTCCTCAATCTCGGACGCCTCCCCTTTAAACGGTCGCTCTAGCACATCCAGCAGCTCGGTCAAAAGCTTTTCCGTCTGCTTGTGTTGTGGATCTCGCAGACTCAGAGAAACTAGACGTGCCGTGAGAGCACTATATCTAGCATTCGAGTCACCTTTAGGATCAAGAAGACTTCGTGCTATTTCAACCCATCCTATAGCTTCGTCAATGGCATTGGCTTCTTTCGACAGTGATCCCAACAAACGGTATATACCCATCAAAGCTGGCGCTGACTTGAGCCCAGTAGTCTCGTATTTCAATGATACTTTCTCGATATGCGAATATGCGTTAGAACATGTTGTATAAACCTTAGTAGCCTCATTTTGACTTCGCCGAGCATAAGCTTGAACACAACGAAGAAAGGGATCAAAAATGTCTTTTTCAACGTTTCCTACATGATTCGCGAGTTTCCACCATGACAACCGCACGTCGAGAGCTAATGCTTGTAACATGAACGTCGCATATGGTGTTATGCTAACTTTGCAATCTAGTGCGGTGGCATCTTCCGAGGCTGAGACGCTTGGACTCATGGATAGAAGCATATCGGACAGGGTTTGAAGTTGACGAGCAGTTTTGTTTACTTGAGCTGGATCCTCGGCAACTCTCAAAAGGAGTTTCACGGGCGAGGAGGCGTATCCGGGCCGTAGAAATGGCACAGCAGCTTCAATGGATTTAGGTTTACGCGAAGCGATCATAAGCCTTAATACCTGTAACTGAGTTGTGATTACCAGACTTAATTTCGCGCCGGTTACCGAGATCTTTCCAAAGTCCAAAAGTTCAGCTAAGGTTTGCGGTGCTGCAATGGTCGCCGTGTCTTTTGCTACTGGCGCACTTTTCCCTCCAATTTCGATGTCCAACCGTCTTTTTAAGATTCTTAGCTCTTTAGTAGCCAAATCTTCTAAGCCCAGTGCCAGTAGCTTCCCAATCAGTACAGACATCCCATTCTCGAGCTGTAGATGTGGCATAGTAAGACCTGCCACATTCGCGAGTTGAAATCCTCTTAAACACAAAAAAGCAGCTCTGGCGCATTCCGCAATTGCTCGAACTCCAGGCGCACATGTTGACGCTGTAAATGTGGATCTCTCTCGTGTTTTTGAAATATTGGGTGAACTAGAAACTCGATTCAAAGCTTGTGGCTGTAATGGTGCTTGAGGAACTGAACTGGATCGTCTAAGACCTTTGCGAGCTGCTGCTTTCTCCTTAGTAGTTGGCGCTTTTCGGAGCTGGGTTGGCACTTTGATTGCTTCCGTCAAAGTTTTTAGTGTGATATTGATAGTTTCAGTGGCCAGTGTGAATTTTTCTTTGGGAGACAGCAGCTCTAGATTGTTGTTTGCGTTTGTGTTTTCCTTGTCTGCCTCATTGACCATCGACCGCGACGCGGGAGCTCGAATTGCGCCTTTTTTCGTTGGTTTTGCCGTCGCTCTAGAAACTGTTTTCGAGGATCCAGGTATACTTAGAGTAGTCGCCTTAGAAGCTAATAGTTCACTGAGGAGGGTGACTGTTGCTAGAGTGCATGTTGTTGTCGAGGATATAGCGGCGCGCACAGCATCCGCAGATTGCTGTGATGAATTCATTATAAGAAATTCTGTCAAGAAAGAAACAGTGTTATTGGTACTTAGACATTATTCCAAAAAAAGGCCAAAGAGAAACAATTGATGTCGTCTTCGAGTGATGTAAAGAATTATCAATCTCCATAATCGAAAAAGAGGTTCCCTGTTGACTCTGTTTCCAGGGCAACCAACTAACCGTAAAGTTAAAATCTTCGGCTCATCCCATGCGGGAGCCCTACGGAAATTTAAATTTTACTACTTCAACATCTTCATCATCAGAACAAGACAAAAAATACAACTATTAAGCTACCATGAATAAATCAATAATAATCCGAAGGCTACTTTTTGCGCCGCCCACTCTTAGAAGTACATTTGTTCAAAAACAATTATTCTCCCCCCAGTCTCGTCAATATGCCGTTCAGAGCATTACTCAACCTTCATTTTGGACAAACATGATTCCTAAACCATTTCGAAAGAGCGAACGAGCCGTAAGCAAAAGACAGAAATCAAAAGATTGGAACCCTGCGACATTTTTTATATGGATCTTCCTTCTGATTGGATCAATGTCAATTCAGATGATCGCATTACGGAATGAATATGCAACTTTTAGTCGGCGCGCAGATGCAAAGATCGCCGTGTTGAGAGAGCTCATCCAGAGAATAAGAAACGGAGAGAAGCCCGATGTTGAAGCACTTCTAGGTGTTGGAGATCGAGAGCAGGAGCGGGAGTGGGAAGAAGGTATAATCTACATTTCGTTCTTGGGGTATCGTTCTAACTTTGGTGAATAAAGTATTACAAGAGATCGAACGAGAAGCCGCAGCTTTACAACAGGCCCCTCCAAAGAAATCAAATTCTGGAAACGCTGCCGCCCCAGAGACAAGAGAGAAGACTCCCGAACAACCGAAGAATAAGAGTAGTGGACCCTCGGGATTCTATTGAGAAGATATATGTACAAAAAAGTCTACTATACAAGATTGATGTATATCTACGATAGCATGTCCTTAAACATACCACTGTTTTTCTGTCGTGCTTCATAGGGAGTTTGAATACCGTCTTTTCTAGACGTGAATCCAATCCGGTTTAATTGATCAACAAGTGCAGGTAGGACTATGTCAGTTCCTAGTTCGGCCCTTACACCCAATTCTCCAGTTTGGCCGCCAGGAAAATTCTTAAAGAATGCCTCCTCGCCCCTGACTCCGCCTAGATTCAGAATTGCAATAGGCATGCCTCGCTCTTGAGCTCGTCGTGCTAGTCTCCATGCAGAATACGTAGCAAGAGAAGTACCCAATACCAGCAGCCTACCAGAATCATCTATCGCTTGTTCAGCAGCTTCCTTTACTTGCGCATCTATGCTCTCCCCAAACATGACCACAGCAGGTTTTAATACACCAGCTGTACTTGTTGCTTTCCAAGCTCCATCCTGGTCAACTTCTACAATCGATTGTGATCCATCTTTTAGAACTGGAGGATTCTCAAGACAATGAGGGCATGCTGGATATCTGAAGGTACCATATGGTGCTCCGGGCACATCAACATCTCCGTCAGGATTTGCCTTCATACCTTTTGCTCGACGATCTTCTGGATCCTCCGTTGTTAAAGCTCCAGATTCGATAATATCGGCCAAAAATGCCGCCCATGCTGGATTCAATCTTGCTAAAGATTCCTGGAAAACATCTCGAGGTAGGTCTTTTCGGCAGGTGACACATGTCAAAGCTCGAAGATATCCATGAAGTTCAACAGTTGCCAAATTTGGATGTGCCTCCGAGTGAAATGAATCAACATTCTGAGTGACCACCCGCTTCACAATATTCATATCGGCAAGGTCCTTAATAGCATAATGAGTTGAATTGGGCTTGGCTTTGTGTAAATTCGTCCACCCTAAGAAACTCCTTGCCCAGTATCTTCGACGTGCCTGGTCGCTGGCAAGAAATTCATGGTAGTAAACAGGTCGATATGATTTGTTCAGCACATATGTGCCCTTCGAGCCTCGACTGCAGAGGATGAACGATTAGCAATTGGCCACGCAATTGAAGCTTGGCAATGGAAGATGCAACATCATTTATACCCATGCCGTTGAACAGGAAGCTCTCTCGGCAGATGATTTTTTCTCTTGCAGGGAATGAACAGTGACCTTGATATCAAAAAGGAAACGCAATGTACTCACTAATCCGCCAATCCAGAAGCCACAGAAATACCAGCTCCTGACAATATTACTGTTGATTGTGGATCTGCGACCCCATCTGGAAGGTTAGGTGAAGGCGGGGCAGTGAGGAATTTCGACAAAGCGTGAATGGCCCCCGGTAATGAGTTTGCGCTTCGTGGTAGGATCGAGGGAGAGGGCAATGGACCCGTGTAGGGTATTCTCATAAGGGGTTTTCGCATTGAATGATCATGGATCAGACGCGCGTTCAAATATAGGAAAGATTGTAGATAGAATGGATGAATTGAAATCTGAAATATAGTAACGTCATGATTGGTGGCGGACCAAGCTATGGTAGCTTAGTCAATGCAGGGATGTAAGGCTTGGATATTTGAACCCTGGAGTAGGTTACCTGAGTACTCGAGTAGGGTTACATAACTCAAGGGATGATATTCAGCTGGAGTAAGTACTAGATACGGAGTATACACTCAAATGTGTGAATGACAGTAGAAAAAAGGATAATATATATAGGGCTGCTGAACCTCCAAAGTCACACACTCTGTACCGAGTACACCGTACAACTTACTACCAAGTAATCTTTTATTATTAGTCTCTTACCTTTCACCGGTGACATCCCCAACATGCAGTTCATCCAAAAGCCACGCAACAACCACGCAATAGTCACAAAATATCTCCATCCAGATTTCGGATGTGGTTTGCTACATAGGAGAGTGACATTTTCACCCTGTACTCTTGTCTAATCTAATGTCCAAACATCCTCAAATAGCTTTTCAATGACTGGCTACCATCTTTTCCGTCCACGCGTGTTCCTTCGTACTCATGTAATCGTCGTCATTTGGGAGGGTTGGCTTGCGAATTCATCACAGAGTACATCCATATGCATTATGCAGTTTATTAAATTTAACCCTACGAAAGCCTGGTGGAATTTACTCCACATATGCTGTACGGAATAGGTAGTTACTAGTTAGTAGGCAGGTACAGTACTCGTTGTTATCCACCAATCTTCACTAAGCAAAACTCAACTTATATTCCCACTTTAAGCTTTTATCATCTTTTCCCCCTCCACAGCGGTATGCAACCAATCCATCAATCATTAACGTGGCGTGGCTCTCCTTGTAAAGTACCTAGCGCCTTTAATGAACACCTAGAAAGGGTGTAATTGTAAAGATACTGTACCAAAAGGTAATTGTCCGGTTAGAATACTTTTTCTCATTAATGGTTAACTCCAAAAATAAATTATTTATGTCCATGCCTCTTCATTGCCTTTCGTTAAGGCCTGTCGTCAAATTGGGCCTTAAGTCTAACATAAGGACACCTCAATATCAAATTGCCCGAGTGTTGCAGACGGCCGCATTCGATACCGCCTTACTCAGTTATAGTACTAAACCTCACAACATCCCTCTTAAATCCTTCCCAAGACTTCAATTACTATCCCATAACTCCAATTCAAGACTTAGACCAATGGCAGCTCTCACCACTACTCAAACGCGCTCACACGCCGGTCACTCTCACCATCATCACCATCATGATAATACATACCTTACCTCGACGAATAAGAACGATGCCGGTGTGCGGATTACTCGAATTGGCCTTTACTCGAACTTGGGTATGGCCTTAGCCAAAGGGGTAGGGGGATACATGTTCAATTCTCAAGCTATGTTGGCAGATGCATGGCATAGTGTCACTGATCTTGCTAGTGACGTCCTCACATTGGCGACAGTGTCCTGGAGTCTCAAACCTCCGACGGAACTCTTTCCAACAGGCTTTGGAAAGGTCGAGAGCTTAGGGTCCTTGGGTGTCAGTGGCATGCTTCTTTTTGGAGGGATGTTCATGTGCTTGAACAGCTCAGAGATTCTCTATGCGCATTTCTTCTTGGATGCTCATGCGGCCGCGGAAGCAGCCGCACATGCACATGGCCACAGTCATAGCCACGGGCCATTGCTCCCCAGTTTACATGCTGCTTGGTTAGCTGCTGGTACAATCATCATCAAAGAATATTTATATCAAGCAAGTAAGTTGCCATTGGCACATCATTCATTGACTAGCACATACTGACCTGACCCTCACAGCGATGAAAGTCGCACGAGATAGGAAGAGCACGGTTCTAGCAAGTAATGCGGTTCACCACAGAGTCGACTCCCTGACTGGTATCGTTACCCTTTTCGCGATTCTCGGAGCAAATTTTCTACACTCGGCAGCTTGGTTAGATCCTGTTGGAGGATTTCTCATATCACTACTCGTTATCAAGGCTGGATGGGGCAATACTATATCAGCGCTATACGAATTGGCAGATAGAGGGATTGATCCTGAGATTAAAGAGTCCGTCACGAAGGCAGTGAAGAAGAGTCTCGTCGATTTAGCAGAAGGATCAGAAGTGGAGTTACGGGAAGTTGAGGGTATCAAGTCCGGACAGAACTACCTGATAGAGCTCCAACTTGCTGTGCCCAAAGCATGGACAGTTGAAGATGTTAGAGAAGTTGAAGACAGTGTCAGACAAATGGTTGGCTCCAAGGTCCGAGGTGTTCGACGAGTTAAAGTACGTTTCGTACCAAAGGATGAAACTAAACCTTCCCTTTTCGACGAGTTCATCCCTGGAAATGTGAGTCCACGAGAAAGTCCCGAACCTGAATTTAACGATCACGACCACGATCACCACAATGGACACGCCCATAGCCATGACAATAAGAAAACCTTATAGAAAGATATGTTCATAAAGTATCATGTGGAACTTACATGGAATTAGGATAGGCGTTAAGGATAGGTGGTAAGACTAGCTAATAGAGTCTTTGTAGAGAAGGATTTTGGCGTTGGAGGTGACATTCCTACAAGTTTGTACTTTATGCAGTGTATCAAAATCTACACAGAACCATATTGTTGGAAATTGCTTGTCCCGCTTATGATTGGTGCGCATCTAATTCCCCAGAATTACTCGAATTTGTGGCTTTCATTCAGGCTAAATGTGGATACTATTCCAACGTCAAATTTTACTAATCATCCCTCCCCCCATATAAACCCCACGATAGAGGCACTTCCATGTCTTTATGTGTGAATATTTTATTCTTTTCTACTCTCCAGTTTGTGATATCCATTTGTCTATAATCTCTTTGAATCAAGATCGAGATCAAAATCAAAATCAGAATCAAAAAATCTCAACATGTCTTCACCAGAAGCCCTATACTTAGGTTTCGACCTCTCTACCCAACAACTAAAAGGTATATCCACGTGAACACAATTCTCACCATTTTATCCCACTGACTCCCTCCAAGCAATCTCGGTATCATTCTTCTTCTCAAAGTGCGCTATGGAAGCAAAA